GTTGTTGTTGTTGTTGTTGTTGTTGTTGTTGTTGTTGTTGTTGTTGTTGTTGTTGCTGCTGCTGCTGCTGCTGCTGCTGCTGATCGACGCCTTTAACATCGCCGTTAAAGTTGTCAGGCGCATCACCATCAAGCGGTGCATAGTCATGCCGTGGCGCGAAACGACACCACAACACAAGGAGGGTGAGTACGGGGAGCACGATGGCCCAGATAAGAAAGAGAGCACCAATCACACCCGCGGTGTCATGCCTGGCATCGAGGATAGTGCCAGTGAAGGCGATGCCAAAGACTGACTGCAACGCCACCAGCCCAACCACGACAGCTGGAGGTCCTCGCGCCCATTTCCAGCAACTATAGGCAGCAGTGACTGTGCAGCCACAAAGCGCAAATAGCATCGCCACAAACATGCCAGTGCGACCAACACCAATCTGCGCGCTGGAAACAATGGCAGCAACAAGAATGAGAGCAGGAGCGACACTGTCAAGGTGAAGTGCGTTCTTCATCAGGTCCAAAGCGCCTTGATGGGCACGCATGTGGGCATGCAAGTTGCGAGCAACTAGGAGCAAGCCACATGCAAGGATTGTAAACGCGAACATAGCTCCTGTTGTGGCATGCACTGCCCAAGGCAGGAGAACCACCACCGCTACCTCCAGTACGGCTTGCCACACGAGTCGAAGCTTAGGATTCATCGCGTGCCGGTGATGGCGTGCAATAGCGGTGCCTGTCACAGCCAGAATCGCCCAGGCAACCAAAACAGCAGCGCGGGAAATTTGCGGCGCTCGGTCACTCCGTTCATTTCCATTGCACGAGTCTCCGATGCCGGACAGGGAAGTAACAACTTCTGACGCAATCAGCAACAGCTTTCTTGCAATCGTGCTGTTGCCACTGCCGAGTATGGGGCTCATCAAGCCGGTCAGCGCAACGGGTGCGTAAAACATTGCACCAGCAATTGAGCGCAGCCACAAACGTGTCGCAGAAACAGCGTTCGCGTTGCGTGTCACATCAAGCGCACTCCACATCCACAGGACGCCAAGCATCAAGCAGTACACGCCGTAGAGAATCGCGTACAGCACATGCAGCGTCACAACGTCTTTCACGCCAGAATGACTAGCCGCAGCGGTACCCACACCGATGCGCGCCTCGTCAAGCTGCTCGTGTGGCTCGCACACACACGGAAGTGTCGTCTGTAACCGCACAGCCACAGCACTTTGCCGGCCTGCAGCGCTCCTGTGCACCGACTGCTTGCATCTGTCCTTGCGGTTGATCTCGATTTGATCGAACGCGGTCGCAGAGCAGTCAGCGTCGGGGACCAGCAAGAAGCCTTCTCCAGCGGCAACCACTGGCCCTTCCGCTTCATAAGTGTGCCTCTTGTAACTCACGGCAACGCTCCGGGTTGGAAACCGGACACCCATTGCCTTCGGCATGTAGACATCAGCGGACGCAGCCGTACCCACCTCCAGGCCAAACGGGATGGGCCATGCACTCGCCCACCCAGACTGAAACTGAACCTCGGCCTTGCCAGCTTGAAGGTGCAACGAAAAGTTGAAGGCGGTGTGTGTATTGCCGAGGTTAATGGCATAGCGAGTGGTGTGTGATGATCCATGGCCGCCAATCATCACCGCCCTGGACGTAACGTTCACTGGCAATGTGTCCGCATCAGGAAGGGGCTTGCTGACTGCAACCTGCTGACTACCATCAAGCACCAGCGTGGCGTCCCCAACGCCTTGCTCGCAAAGGGCGGATGAGGCAACCCCTTCCAAGTCGATCATGAATGTTTGGCCTGCGACCTCGTGCAGCTCCAAGTTTGCAGTCACCCCGCGCCCGGTGAAGTTCAGCGCTGCGCTTCTTCCGGGTGCATCTGCTGCGTATTCGGTTTCCCAGTAAGTCTGAGAATCTGAAGTGCAAGTGGCACCGGTTGCCTTGATGGATGCATGTGGGTGCGAGAACTTGGGCTGCCACAGCGTGACCTGCCGAAGCTGGGTGCCCTCATGCGATGTGTCACCGCGACCCTCGTCAAATGCCACCATGTACCCGCCATCCTCGTCAATGTCGACGTTTAAAGCGTCGGGCAGCAAACCAAGTTGAGAAAAGGCCGTGCCGTCTGAAACATTGAAGGTCGCAACGCTCACTGCTCTAAGGACGCTCACGTGGCCACGGGCATCCTCCAAGTCAAGATGCGAGACACGGTCGAGGGTGGCATTTCGTATCTGGGAGAAGTACATGGAACAGCGACGCTCGTTGAGGATTGTCGCGTGCGATGCTGGTAGCGCGCTTCCAACCCATCCCAGCATCCAAGGTGACAGCTTCACCGGCGTCTCCGGGGTGTGCGTCTTGTTCTTCCACAACGACAAGCAGCCGCGATGCAAGGAAGCCCTCGAGAATGAACGCAACGACGCTGCCAGCGTGGAAGACTTTCCACCAGCAACGACGCTTCCCGCCTGCAACAAAGTGTCCTCGTCCAAGTCCATGGAAGCGTTCACGAGCATGAGTGGCTTTGTGGGAGCGTGCGCCCCCACAGTGAGGACCTGTGCGTGTGCAGCCGCAACAACGACAATGTCTGTCACGAACGGGGCCGCCTGTAAGTCTACAACAGCACTCGAGTTTGCGATGAACAACACGTGCTGGGTGTCATGAACACGCATGACAATGGTGTCATAGGTGAGCCTGGCCACGGTTTGTCCTTCTCCACGCAACCCAAGGTGGGCAGAGCCGTGTTTGGGAGCAACCATGCCCACAGTTGCGTTGCTGTCAGCCGTGCCCAGAACCTGAATAAGACCAGTCGTCTTGTAACTTTCGAGAGAACAGATGACTTGCCAGTTAACCCTGAGGGCTGGGCCTTGCTGTTCTGTCTCCCTTCGTCGTTCGCTGGCTGTAAGGGGAGCATCTGCAACGGAAGAAACCCTTCCGTCAAACTGAAGCACTGTGTCTGAGCCCAAAGCATCGACAACGTACGTGACATTGGTGTCGGGTTTCAGTTGCAGGGTTCGTCCTTCCGATGGATACGACACGTGCGTGACCGCGTTACCGCCTGGAAAGGGCGTGGATTGTGAGCGGTGAGGCGAGTATCTCCTCCCCTGTGTCTCAGAAAGCTGTGAAGATGGGCTGAAACTGCGAACGTCGCACGTGACACGGTTGATGTCCTCAGGCCGGTTGTTGATGATCTCAAGAAACACTGGGTCTCCCCGCTTGTTGACAGGGCCAATGCGGTCAACGCTGATAGTCCCCATCACGCCTCCGTTTGTGTTGAACACGAGTGTGTCTGGGTCCTGGTCGTCGCCGTAGTTAAGGGACGACCCCAACATTGGGTACTGCAGCTTGAATGCGTCCAAGCCGGCGCCAGCACTCACATCAAAGCGGGATTGACCTCCGTCCGTCAGCTCGAAAACATCATCACCGTCAAGCAGGTCCAGGGTCGTGGGGATGGTGAAGCCACGCATGTACACGGCGTCGCTGAGCTGTGACAGGGATGCTGTCAGGGTTGCGTTGCCGTGCTGAAGCACTTGGCATCGTGATACGTTCGTGGAGGGATCCCAGCCCCTTGCCGCTGCATGCATCCGCAGCCATGACGAGGGTGATCTTTGTACTTTCTGCGGGCTGCTGCTGCCGGCTTCTGCAGATGAGATGCACGTGCCATGAAGCACAATCTCCTGAGCGTGAGGTACGTTCTTTCCCGCCTTCAGTTCAACTCGTGTTGTCAGGTTGCTTCCCGGACCAAGGCTGAGGACATTGCCCTGAATTTCCTGCATTGGGTTGTAGTCTGTGGCAGCTGGATCCGCCAGTAACAAGTCGTAGGAGCCAGCAAGCACGATGCCACGATCCACGGCTTTCAACAGAACCGCATTGGGCGTCGAGCCAAACTCGGCAAGGGTGCCGGCAGTTGCTTCATCCTTGAACTGAAACACAAAGTCTGCGTACGTATCTGCTCCTGTGACTTGAACCGTATTGCTTGCATTTCCAAACGTGACGTACACGTGGTCAATGTACTCCAAAGACAAATGGAGTTGCGTGCTGTCGGCTTGTGTGGACCTCACGTGGAGATCGCCATTCCCAAACCACCAGCGCAAGTCGCGGTTGTCTTGCCCGGCATCCACGATGATGGTATAGTTCCTGTCTTTCCTCGTGGACCCGGCAATGGTGGCGAAGCAGTTAAAGTTTTCCAAACTACCCGAGCCAACAAGGACCTGCTGGTTGCCGCTGCCGTCAAGTGTGATCTTAATGCCGACCGTACCATCCACGCAGCCCGTCAGCCGATGAACCGCAGTTGCTCCTGTTTCTGTGACGGAGTGCAGGTTCACAACAGTGAAGCGGTCCGGACCAAGTACAGTTGTCTGGACCGAAGCTCCCCGTGCCGTGAGCACCCGAATGTCAAAGAAGTCCATGTTTGTCACACCAAAGTGGTGGAACCCAAGGCTGTTGTTTAAGCTCAGCGATGTCGGGGTCAACGTCAATGACCCGCTGCCTGATTGAATTTCATTGTGCACGCGCAGCAGGTTCGAGGAATCCGTGAGTGCGCCCTGAATCTGCAGCGCACCTTCGATCTGAGCAGGATCTGGCACGACGAAGGTGTTGTTCCCTTGTCCCCCGATGCACGTGACAACTGCTGAGGGTGCCACAACCGCCACCGTGGTCATGGCGTTGCCCGTCGGATGCGCGCGTGTTGTTAGGTAAAACGGTGGTTGCGTGAAAGCGATGGCCGTGCCGTCAAGTTCGACGGACCTGTTCCTCAGCACCAATTGTGTCACGTTCATGTCAACAGTGAGGTTGCCTGCCTTTCCCACAAGCACAAGATCAAAGTCGCCCGGTGTTCCTGTCAAGCGCACGTCCTGCGAGGGGCTCACGCTGACGTGTGTTGGGCATGGTGTTCCGGTTAATTCCACATGAGCAGTGGACAGTGCACGTGTCAGGTTCAGGGAGCGACAAGGCGGCACACCGTCGCCTCCAAAGTACAAGCCTGCAGCACCGCCAGCCACCAGAGCGGTGGGGGTCAGGTGGACCGAGGGTCGTGAGCCGGCAGTGCTGTTTCGCTTCAGGCTGCGTACCGTCAGCGTGCGGTCCCCGGTCAGGCCTGTTTGTGGCGTGTGCAACGTCGTTGCCGCGTGTGATGCTGGGCTCCCAGGTGAATATGCGTCCATGGACACGATAACGGCCATGTTTGCGGCGCCAGGCAGCCGTACGCAGCGAAACACGCCAATGACTCGCACCACAAACTCTGACCCTCCTGTGCTGCCAGAAAATCTGAGGCAATCCCCTTGTGCAGGCATGGAGATGGAACGCGGGGGATCTCGTGTCCCGTCGGTAGTGGTTTTCACACTGACATCAACTTCGTTGTTTGCCTGTGTTAGAGTAAATGTGGGCACGCGCTCGCATTCGCCAGAGCAGCTCAGGCTAGTGTCACTTGAGGACACCTCCGGTTGGGCTGCGTTGAGATTGATGAGGCCAGATCCAGAGCCTGGGCTCGTGAAGATGCGGGGATTGCTGGTTTCTTGCCAGGGCACAAAGTGGGTTTGAATGCTGACAACGGTGAAGCACCAGGACTTCAACCACAGGCTCACGCAGCCGCGAATTCCAAAGCCAAGGGTGATGACGAGCCTGTACGTTCGCACTGTGGCATCGAACACGTTGCCGTTGAGGCGAACGAGGTGGAGCACGTCGCCAATGGACACGAGCCCAGTCCCATGCACGTTGGGAATGCTGAGCGTGCCGCTCACCGTTAGGCCAACGTACAAGTCGCCGTAGAAGCCCACCACACCAATGCTCACGCCAATGCCAACATGGCCGCCCACAGTGACAGAGGCTCGAAGCACTGGCAAGGCAGCGTGAGTTTTCTGGTCAGTCACCCGAAGGCTGAGGCTCCGCATGGCTGGGCCAATCTTCCTTGTCTGAAAGATTGTGATGACAAACTTGTTCGTCATCACCATCGGTGGCACTTGCAGAACAACGACGGCTCCAATATCCAGTTCCACGTACACGGAAGGTACAAACCACACTGGCCCCACCATCCACGACGTGCCAATGTCAATGATGAGCTCGGGGAAGGTCACTTCCACAAGCGGCACATTGAGTCCGAGCAACATTTTCAGCAGGTCTTCCAGTGGATGCTCCAAGAACAAAAGCTTGACGTTGAACGAGCCTTCCACGGTGATGCTGTTCCAAATCTCCTGCACCGACTTTGCGTGCTCCGCGGCAAGGCCGTTTGTGTTCAGCTGGTTGGGCGGGTACGATGGGCCATGTGGCTCTGGCGCCAGGTCGGGCTTGCTAAAGTCGAGGATGAACTCCTGCATCTCGTGGGTGGTCTTCGAACATGTGGGGTCAGCCAAGTGCTCCGCAAGCGCTTGTAAGCGCTCGATCAGCTTCAAGACGGCGGCAACTTTTTCGACGGTTTCAAACACTCCATCAAAATCACACTTGCCATGGCAAAACGCGTCAGCAACCTGGTGCAGCAAGTCTATGAGGGCTTGGGGCGGTAAGACAGGCGAGAGGTCAACTTTCTGCTCGAGAAAGTCGACTACCCTCTCCACGTTCTGGAAGTATTGTGCCCTGGTGAAACTCAGGGTGTTGTGCAGCAAATACGTCAACAGCTGCCCCACACACAAACGCGGGCGGCCAAAATGGCAGCGCGGTGCGTTACTGCAGCCCTTGATCGAGCATTGGAAGCTGCAATTTAGGTGGGAGTGGAAGTTTGGTAGCGCTTGAATTGTGTCCTGCGTGTCCTTGTGGAGTAGCTGGTCGAAAATTCCCGCAAAACCAAGGATGGCGTCACCTTCAAGCTTGCCATCAGCGTCCAACTCAAAGTCCCAAGCGTGAGTTTTGCTGAACTTTGGCGGCGTCACAACAATCTCCGCCTTGGCAAGTGCGTTTGCCCCAATGTCGATGCCAGCAATCAAGAAGCTGCCAATGAGATCGCACTTTGGAACGTCCAGCTCAAGTTTTAGCTCCAGCGCTGGGTTGCCGTTGAACAGGAAGCGAATACCCTTTTGCGGTGACCAGGTCACGGTGACGTTCACATGCCAGTAAAACTGGGCTTCCTCTTCACAGTTGAAGTCGAGGTTGGCGATGCCGTGAGAGCCGAGGTCAAACGCAAGCTTATCGGGCTTTTGTTTCAGCGTTCCGTGCAGGTCGAGGTTCCACTTGTACGTTTTGTCAGCCACGTCCGGGACCTTGGGCCAGTGTATCAGCCACGGATGAAGGAGGAGGTGAATTGCCTCTGTGAACCAGTGCAGCACCTTCTCTTCAATGTCCTTAATCTTGGCCCCGATACCGCTCAGGTTTAGGCTTTGGAGCTTTGGCTGAAGGAATGCAAGAAGGCGTTTGAAGAAGCCAGGCCCAAAGATGTCGCCGAGATGGACGTGGAGGTGGTGCGTCCACCACTTGCCGTCAAGCAACGGAATGTGAAGTCCGTCCAGCAAGCCGCCTAGCCCAAGCTTTGAGCGAAGGAACTCCTCCCACTCACGCTCCCACTGAGCAACCAATCGCCCAAAGTCTTGCAATGCATGCTGGAATCCAAATTGGGGCAGAGCGCGCAAGAGACTGCTCAACAGACCATCTGGACAGCCCGGAGTACTGAAGTGGAACGTGTCAGAAGACGGGTCCAGAAGAAACGCTGCAATCTTGGGAATCTCCACATCAAGGTGGCAGGGGTGAGTGAAGGGGATGTTCACCTTGGCTGTCAGAGAAGCTTTGCCGTGGAGCGTGATCCCAGCGCCCACTGGCGTTCCTGAGGTTGTGGAACTCAGCGCAGTCTCAGATGCGGACGAAGTCGGCGATGGTTGCGAAGGTAGGCTGAACGACGCATCGCTACCGGCATCTTCTCCAAACTCAATGCTCAGAGTGACGGGGTCGCCAATCTTCAACTGCACATCAGAGAAAGGCACAGGCATAGGCCCAAACCAGACCTTGATGGTGCCTTGGCCATTGACCGAGACAGCCATTGTCAAGTTGGCGCTGCGGACAGAGGGGATCGGCACGGTGCCAGAAAGATCGATGACGAGTGTGGCGGTACCAACAACGGAGGCGGCTGACACAAGGGTCCCAGACGCTGATTCGCCAATGGACAACTCCGGCTTGTCTTTCACAGGCTCAAACAGCACGGAGTCATACTTGAATGAGTCCCTGGCTGAAGAGTTGACCAAGTCAACTTGGATGCGGAGCACAAGTTTATCCTCGTGAAGGGCGCTGTGCGTGCACACTGGGTGCCCGAAGGACTCTTGCAGCACCTCGCAAAGCACAGCAATATCGGCTCGCGCACCCCCATTGCACACAGCTTCAACTGCCTTCTCAGCGGCATCAGTGTATGGCCCAAGCCAGTCCTTAATGGCCTTGCTCGCAAAAGGCAGAGGGTGGACACCGACTTGGCTCCGATGGACTGACTTTGAAGGCTCGAGTAGCTGCTCAGCAAACCAGCACAAACTCGATGAGTTGATGGACAAGGCTTGGTTCATCGCCCTGACAAAGCTCTCCTTCCCATGGAACGCGAGGTGAAATTTAAATTGGTTGACCATGTCATGCACGTTGAAGCCAGCATGAAGGGTGAAGTTGTCCTTCATCGTGAGATCAATACCAGCGCCTGTCGTCACCACCGCAAGATGATCGACGCCAATGGAGATGTTCTCCAGCTGAAAGTGCGTGTTCAGGTCGACCGTGGCCACGAAGAAAGAGTAGAACGAATCAGGCTGCCGCAGAGCGTGATTAATGGTTGAAAGGTCGGAGTAGTGCAGCTGTCCAGGTTGGTGTGGACAGGGGCTGCGCGCTGCAGGCTGGTGCAACACGTCGCTGCGCGCAAGCTCATGCGAAAGAGTAGCAGACGAACACGGAGCGCCTGCCTGCTGAGCCTCATGCGAAAACGCGTCGCTGTGGGCGGATGTCGGTGGTGGAAGCAGCGCGATGTCGATCGTTACGTCTGTGCTGCCTTTAATGTCTCTGGCCTTGACGTCGATGATGGACACGTCAGCTTCGACTTCTTGTGCACCAGCCTCAAAATGCGCCTCTGCGTGCAAATCAACCTCACTGATCATGGGCTTGGCCAGAGGAAGTGCGATGCTTGTGTCGTTGACCACACGTATTATTATATGGACCTCCATTGGAAGGAAGTTTTATTAACTACATTGCCCAGCTCTCTAAGATTTTGCATTGACCCCACGTACCCCGAAACGATACGGCCGGCGTAAGAACCGTGATCACCAGAAATGTCTGTTGAACGCGCTTGACGACAATGCTGGAGTTTTGTGCCGAGCTGGAAACAACAGGAGATGGTGGAGAGCGGAGCTGTCCGCCGACGATGACCTGCAACGTGTTTTTCGGTGTTGCTGGCACTGTCACCTTGTCAATTGTCTGCGAGCTGTTGAGCGACGACCACACCGTCACGTTCAAGCCTTGCTTGGGAGGGGGGCAGTCAAACGCAAATGCAAGGGCAGCGCTGATGCTGGCCTCGATGGCGGCAGACGCGCTGCCGTTGCGCACAAAAGCTTTCAACAGTCCATGCGCCGCCGAAATGCTGTCGTCGATTGGGGTGGTCGTCGTGACGCTCTTGTTGTACGCGGTGAAGAACTTGAACCCCACGGCGGTCAGCTCCGCAGGGTACACCGCTGCAAACTCCTCAGGAATGCCCGCATCCTTGGCAGGAATGGTCAAGGTGTTCAGTTTGGGGCGGGGCAATTGCTGCATGAAGATGCCATGGACAATGGCGACAAAATCTTCATAGAGCCCAAACAAGGGTATCTTGGCCGCGTTCTGCGTGGTTTGCACGGTCAGGTTCTGCCTTGCTGGTGTGGAGTTCACGGACACAAAAGTGAGAGCACCTGGAACTGCAGGACGAAGCTCCCACGTTGCACAAGGCTTCCCGCCTGTGTGGGTGGCGCCAATTGTGTCTTGAAGCACATCGAACTTGAGCCAATGTGAAAGCCCGCACTGCTGTAACGCAGCGTTGAAGGATGATTCGAAGGTCTTCCAGCTGGTGTAGTCGAGAGGTGAGAGCTTGCAGGGCGTCGGTTTGTTGTGAGAGTCGAACAGCACGACGTTGAGCGTCACAGGTGGCTCCTTTTCCATGACAGCAAGGCAGGAAGGCGAGGTTGCCAACGAGGGGTTTGGGTCACTGGGGATGGTGAGCAGAGACGCCGCATCTTTGATGATGTGCTCGAGGTCACCAACCTCGTCAAGGGTGTGTTGGTAAGGGTACACCTTGAACTTGAGAGAGCCTGAGAGGGCCCTCGGAATCATGTTGAGCAACCCGTTCTTCAGGACCGTGAGGACGTTGCTCGGGCTCACTGCCTGCTCCACAGGGTTGTCGCGAATATGGAACGTTGTTGTGCCGGAGGACTTCTCTGAGCTGGTATGGGTGGCACCAATGACGAACTCCGGCGTTGCACCCCAGGTGGTGTGCACCTTTAGTTTGAGCTCAGTGCGTATGCTATCAGGCAAATTGACGTCCGCAACGAATGAAGAAGACAAAGGGATGCCTGATTGCATGGACAAGAGTGAGGGCAGCACGAAATTGTGCCTCTTTGAGGTGCCGCCGAGGTGAAACGAAACCAAACTAGCCGACCCGTCCTGAAGACGGATGTGGAAGCTGCCCACAAGCGTTAGTTCAGCCGAAAGCCTGTTGGCGTCCAGTAGCCACTTCCACGGGGACTGATGGTTCGTCACAGATATGTTGTGCGTTGTGGACAATTGCACCCAAATGTCACACGCGCCAGGGTCTTCTTGGGCTGCAGTGGCCGAAGCAGAAACGAAGTGTCCTTGCGAGGGGTGTGACGCACCCGCAATGGCATTTTCGAGGGCAGGAAGGAAGATCTCAGGAGGATCATCGTCGTAAGTGTTCAGGGCTGCGCGAAGACGCGCAACCACGTCTCCGGTGATGGGGACGATGGGCCAGCGAGTGAGTGTTAGAGGGAATGTGTCGATGCTTGCCACCGCCTGCTTGAGCGCATCATTGACGGCATCTGCGGCACTGGGGCGGGGCCAAAAAAACGGTTGGAATGCGCTGAGACACCTCTGCTTCTGCAAACTGTCGGGAGTTGATGGGGGCACAGACAGCAGCTGCGCGTCGGCCAAGTCGTGCGTCGTGTTAAAGTGCAAGGCAACGGTCTGAGACGCCAGGTCATATGTAGCCAGCATGCCGACACCGCCAATGATTGCATCCTTCAAGCCCAACATTCCACTCAGCGAGCATGCGCCTGCGACGGCAACTTCGCTGTCCACAGTCGTGCTGTTGCTGATGGGAGCCACTGGAAACAATGTGCGAGCACGCACCATGTAGTCTAGGCTCGCGCCCTCGATATCGCTCACTTGCAGTGGCTTCGGGGACCATGTGTCAATGCGGAGGCATCCTGCCGCTGACGATGGAAGCGCCTGGATGACGCTGTTAACGGCGGCCAGAATCGGCTGCAGCGCTGCCGCTGTACCCGGGACGCCAACACCTGCGTGACCAAGCCTGACACCCAGGGCAACCTCGGCCGGAGCGCCGGATACGGAGGTCGCGCGCTTACTCCTGCCTGAAGTCAGAATTTCGACCAGGACAGATCCTTCCGGCCGCTGATGCTTGAACCACAGCCAGAAGTTCAGAGCCGTGGGATGTAGGGCATCCTTCATAAAGGCTGTGACGAGGGCTGACAGGTGTGGTGGCGGTAGGACCTCGGCCACAGCAGCATCGATGGCTGGAATGTGCGTTTGCAACTCCTGGTGCAGCTTGTCCACAACTGGCTGCAGAAACGTGACGGCTTCCGACACAGACGTGAACAGGACATCAGAGAGTGGCGTGCCACGCATCTCAAATGTCTCAAACACGTCTCCATCGAGAAACGTGGTCACGGATGGCGGCGTTGATGACACGTCGGTGCCCAAGCCAAGCGTTCCACGAACAGTTCCAGAGATGTGCGTTTTCAAGGCCTGAACGAGCTGTAGGGGGAGGGTTGCCAAGTGGATGTTGGAGAAGAAATCGTGAGGCCAGAGGCTGTCGAGCATGTTTGGAGACGTCACGGTAAGGGATACGGCCAGTGCGGAAGGTCCTGAGGTCACCGCAGAGCAAGACACAGCCGCTGTCGTCTGTGCACGAAAGCTGCGAACGTAGACGTCGGTGCCTGTCGCGTACAAGTCGACCGTCACGCGGGCTAGCAACGACCCGGGCACAACAGTGAGCTTGTCGCTGCACTGCGTGTGGGAAACTGTCCTCTCTGCAAACGCCAGCACCTCATCATGCACAAAGGCAGGGCAATCTGGAGTTCCCGGAAGCATCCAGCCACAAAACAGCTCACGCTGAAGGAGCACGCCCGAGGCCAAGTTGCTGGTTGGACGATATAGAACGGACGTGGGTTGCAGCGCACGAACAAGCTCCTCTTCCTCGAGGATGTCTGTTTCGAGCCAGGCACGGCGCGCAGCGCCGTGTGCAGCCGATGGGCTTGACAGGAGAGGAGGAAGACGAAGAAACATCTTGCCCAGAAGCATGTTCACCAAATTAATGTTGACAAGGGCGATTGGGGAAAGGGAGGGTGGCTTGGAAGGAACGAAGATGGCAGGCACTTGCCCATCGAACGAATCCACGTCCTTTGACACGACGTAGTCTG